TAAACTTTCCTTTTACATTAAGAGGTTGCTAAAGAAAAAGCACTGAGTATAACATGGCAAAATTAGAAATCCAATCAAGAGATAGAAGCCATGCAATAATTCGAGCTTGGAATGTTTAATCAAGAGATAGAAACCACGCAGTAATTCGAGCTTGGAATGTTTAATACAAAGAAAATAACTATTTATAGTCAGAGTGATTAGGAATAGGCCAATAAGAAAAAAAGAAGAACACACAAATATTACAGGAATGACAAATGCAAGGTACACCCACTACTGGGGCTGAGATAAAAGTTCCTCCAATCCCCTCAAGACGGAGATGCAGACCTTGCTGCACCCCACTGAATGGCAAGTAGGTGCCAGTGGAAAACTCTCCCTCTCTAGGGTGCTGGAAAAACTTCATTGGTAGTTATTTATCTAGCAGCCACCCATAAACCAGCTGGGGAGGTGCTAGGGGAGGTGCCGGCTTCTGCCGTCCACTATCCAGAGCAAGAGCTGGGTGCTGGACAAAGTATCCATGCTGTAAGCAGAGCCCATCAAGAGAGCACACTACCACCAAGAGAAACCCTCTTTTTCCTGTGGTGTCCCTCCAGAGCTGTCTATTGATAAAGCTTCACATTGTGACAACAGGCAAAGGAAAAATATTTAAAGGATCCAGTTGTATTTCCATGTGTCAATACTAAACGGGTTTATTTGGAGCTAAATGTCAATAAATTGACAAGCAGACAGCCCGCCCCTTGGCTACTCAGTTCCACACATACTCCATACACTGAAACAACAGAAGCAGAGGTGACTTCCTCCGCACGTTTCTGCAGCACAGGCAGCTCCCTCCCCAGCACTCATTCACAACTTGTAACTCCTTTCCTTACAACCAATCAGAGGAACAATGCAAGGCTCTATCAATGAGGAGATTCCAAAACTACTTCATAGTTCACATTAGTGTCAGGAAGCTGCTTCTTTCATCTAAGGTGAATCCTTCTTAGGGAAAAAAAAACCCTCCCTTCTTTTTTTTTTAAAGAGCCCTAACTCTGGCACTAGATAATCTTGGTTAAAATCCCAGGTCTGTAACTTTCGCTTGTAGTGCTTTAAGTGAGTTACCTAATGTCCCTTTGCTCCTAGAAAATGGGGAGACTATCTACCTTGTAAGATTGTTGTGGAAGAGTAAATCAACTAATCTGTGTTAAATACAGTCAATAAATTCTAACTGCTATTATTTTATCTGTGGGGATGGAGTATTTTCTGACTGCCCACACTCCAAAGATCCACAAAGACAGAGGGATTTTTCTGTTTTGCTTTCTGCTTTATTCCTACTACCTAACACAGTTCCGAGACCAAACAAATGCTCAAAATGTGTTTCATAAAGGTCATAAGCCTTTCTGGGACCAGCAGTTAGTGTAATGGCTATGTGTCTGGACTCCCATGTAGTCCACGAGTCCCGGACCCGGCAGGTTAAACTCACGCCGGGCGGGGGGGCGGGGGTGCCCA